CTTGTCCATTTGAGCCAGTTCAAAAAGGAGAAGTCAAATAAAGACTCTAGAATCCTGTGGCCAACCATAACTTGAGATTGATAACGTGGTATCACATTAATGGCCATCTGAAAGATGCAAGTGAAGTACTTCTAGTACTGTGAACTTGAGAGATAATAACAGAGCAACCTGCTAGGATAACCTTGAGTGGTAAATCATATTGATGGCACAAACTGAATAAGGTGAATGATACACCAGACGCTTGGGCACCATTTAGGCTCACTTCTCCATTTTCCAAACCTTCCAAAAATATCTGAATAGACAGATTTAGACCAGGGAGTGAGCAAAAAATAAAAATTATTACTAACTAGGCAATTATATACTACAGGTGGACCTTTTAAGGCCAGAGTTTTCATCCCAATCACTGGAGATACCCATAATGTCACTGTATTCAGATTGGCTATCTCCACTTTTAAATTGGCACTGTCTAAAAATTGACAAACATTTATGGAAAAAATTTTGAGCTTCAAACAATTGAATACCATTTGGTGATGCAAGAACATGCTAATTTTAAAATAGCTTCTGGTTTTGAATTATGGAAGTCTAACTATAATGTCTTTCTTACATTAAAATGGAAAAAACTTTTGTGCTCTTTCTAAAACACAAACACATAAAAAGGGGAAACCATTTGGCACTGTGTACACACAGGAAAATCCCAGTTTTAGTTTCTAGTCATGTTTTTCAAGTAACAATTACTTTCTCCAAATTCATGGTTTTTAGAGTATTTCGTATTTCCAGGACATCTTCTTTTGACCTAGTGTGTTTCTTCTTAAAATCAATGACACTTTTTTTCTTTAGGTTTCTGACTTTTTGAAGCATGATCCCCAAAGAGGTCATAATCAGTCAAATTTTAAAAACAAAAAAATTGATCATTTTCTTAAGTATCCCATCAATGATGATAAAGTTGTACAGAGGTCTGAGATAAAGATAAGGCATTAGGTTTTCTTCACAATCAGACTACTAGCTTAACTAGCTCTTTTTTCCCAAAATATTTCAACCTCTTTGGAAGGAGGGAAGTTATAAAATGTAAACACTTAAGAATTGTCATACTCGGTTATATTACCTAGTGTCCTCCAGTTGGTAAGCAAGACCAAAGGATGTGTTGATAAGAGAGACACTGGTATCCTTCCTGTTGGTTACTGCTGAAGTTAAGAAAATATCTTAAAATATGGCTACCTTTACCCAAAAAAAAGTATATTTTAAATGCTACCAATAAAGAACACATGCAGGATTTTCTTTTCCTCCTAAGAATTAAAGCCAGCTTTCACAGTTGGTAAAATAATGGTAGGACAGCATTAAGACATTTTACAGGGGGAAGAAATGTTTGTGACAGCAGAGTGGAAATCAGCCTTAGGATCCAGCCAAGAACAACAGAGGGAGAAAGTAAAGAATTAACTGAGGAGCAACTATCCTTAACATACTGACAGCCTATCCCAATATTTTGAGTTGTTTAAGAGCCAAGGCTGTAACAGGATACCAAATTTGCCATGAGATATATCTGTCTTTAAGGGTGTTTAAAAATAAAGTCAGCTGAAGAAAAAACAGTAGTTGAATCATAAGAACTGAAAGAACAAATTATATAGTGTTTAAGAAATCAAGAGAAACCAGTGAGCGAACCTTTACTTTATGTGAACCACTGAAAGAATCTCTTAAATATAAGGCAATTCTTTTCTAAGTCCAATTCATTAGCAATGGAACATAATCTATAAAATTATTTTCTCCCATGATTTGAATGTCCATAGTCCCAGTTTTTTCTAGGCAGTCTTCATTTATTCCTTTTGTCCCACTTAATAGCCCTTTACATTCTAAAACTTATCCCAGTTTGGAAAATTAATTATTTGGTCATTTCCAACTCCACTGGTTACCCCAAAACATGATTCTGAATAATCATCTTTTACAGGAGAAGTTGCAGTCCTGAGAAACTTCAAATTTTGAGGGAAACATCACAAACTGATATACAAGAGGGATACTGCAAAGTACAAAATACCTGACTCCAGATTGGTTATCAGTAGTGCTGTCAGAGCTGCACTGGAAAACCAGGTCATGGAAGAAGGTCTTTGTGGAGGCAGTGGAAGTAATGTCATCTGAGGACGGAAAGAGTTACTACTCCAGGTTGGTGCTGAAGGTTGTTCTGTAAACATTGTAATCCTCCCAGTTAGCATCTCAATTGTTTTGCTGCAGGAGCCTAACACCCTGAAAAAATCTTGAGTGTTCTGGCTTAGGAAACGCACCTCCACAAGAGCAGGTCTTGGCTGTAGCAGGTACGGGTTTAAGAGATCAACCAGAGAATGAAGTTCATAGAAAAGAGCCTCTCTTTGAAGCCTAAGATAGTCTGAAAAGTTAGTGGGTAATAAACGCTGGTGAGTTCTCAGAAAATCTAAGATGAAACTAAATAAAACACCATCTCTGTCTACAAAAATCTGGCCACCAACCATCTTAAATTCTTGGTCTCTGCCATCTAACATGCATGCCAACCAAGGAGGAAACTGCTTTATCGTAGAAAACCTTGTTGTGAATGTCTTTCCTCCCACATTCAAAGTGACCAGTTCCTGACTACTTATTCTTCCCTCACTTCACACTAGAGGCTACCATCAGCGACACTTAGGAAATCAACCTACCGTTAAGTGTTGCTAGTTATATGTGATTACACAACGGAGGGGAGGAAAGAATAACAAAAACCAGAGACTTAGATTCCCAGGTAACTACTGTAAGGTAAATAGTGTATCCATAGCTGTGTGTGCAAATTTGAGTTGCCTGGGAACTTGCAGTATACAAAATGAAAAAGCAACAGATGAGGAACGAAATAGTTTAAGGAAAACTGCCAATATGTCTGAAGATATACATCAAATAGATTCCTTTCCTGTCTTCCATTTTTAAAAATTCTCCATGAAAACCTGGTAAACTACACACACGCACACACACACAGACACACACTTTAAAATTACTGGGAGGAGAAAAGCACTTCTCCCTCCCCATACTTGTCTACTATGCAGGGGTTAAATGATGATCTCCTTAGCAATTTAGTGGCTAAATCACGAATTATGTGTTAGGAACGAGACAGTCATTACTTCCTCTGGCAAGCTCAATTCTACACTTCTCATAGCTAGAAGGAAATAATTTCTTCTGTGCTTTAAATTAAGTTGCCACCTTTTATCCTGTCCCCATGTTTATTACCTCCTCTCAACCAAATTAAAGGAAGACTGAGGTAAATATCTCTATTTTCAGAAAGTCTATTCTACTTAATGGGCTTTCAAGGAATATCTTACTGTATGACAGAAATAAGGCAGACTAGAGAGCAGTTATAAGGTTAGTTCTTTGTTATATGAAATCTAAGCAACGTGTTTTTTTATTCCAAACTGGAACTCCTAGCCTAAAACAGTCCTCCCACATCAGTGTCCCAGAATGCTGAGATTACAGACATGAGCTACCATACCCAGCCACTAATCTTTTTTGAGATGGAGTTTCGCTCTTGTTACCCAGGCTGGAGTGCAATGGCGCGATCTCAGCTCACCGCAACCTCCGCCTCCTGGGTTCAGGCAATTCTCCTGCCTCAGCCTCCTGAGTAGCTGGGATTACAGGCACACGCCACCATGCCCAGCTGAATTTTTGTATTTGTAGTAGAGACGGGGTTTCACCATGTTGACCAGGATGGTCTCGATCTCTTGACCTCGTGATCCACCCGCCTTGGCCTCCCAAAGTGCTGGGATTACAGGCTTGAGCCACCGCGCCCGGCCTTAATCTTTTTTTCTTTAACCTATCTATGCTTTTGCTTGCACACCCACCTAACATTTCTAGTTGATCTTCAGTGAAAACTACAAAAAGCAGAAAAGGACAGACTGAAAGCTCCACTCTCCTAAAAATGTAAACTTATCACAAGAAAATGCCAGGTTTTGTATGTACATTCACATTTTGGAGATAAAGAATTAACTCTCTGTAGAAAGTTTTGGAAATCTAATTCATTAGTATCTTCAGTTGTCTATGTGTGTGTGTGTGTGAAATCTTCTACAATATATTTAATTACAGCATGTTCACTGTCAAAAAAAAAAGTGCTTTAAGAGTAGTCTTTGGCTGGGCATGGTGGATCACGAGGTCGAAGATCGAGACCATCCTGGCTAACACGGTGAAACCCTTTCTCTACTAAAAATACAAAAAATTAGCCAGACATGGTAGCACACACCTGTTGCCCCAGCTACTCAGGAGGCTAAGGCAGAATTGCTTGAACCTGCGAGGCAGAGGTTGTAGTGAGCCAAGATCACGCCACTGCACTCCAGCCTGGACAACAAGTAAGACTCCATCTCAAAAAAAAAAAGAGTAGTCTTGACTGCATGCTTGAACAATCACTATTATACTACTTATACCTCATCAATATAATATTAGATCATATGATCTCTCACCTATTTTTATCACAGCATAAATAAAATCAATATTTGGGGTGGATGCTTATTTCAAAACCACTCTTTAAAAAAAAAAGGGGGGTTCATGGCCGGGCACAGTAGCTCACACCTGTAATACCAGCACTCTGGGAGGCCGAGGCAGGTGAATCACAAGGTCAGGGATTTGCGACCAGCCTGGCCAACATGGTGAAACCCCATCTCTACTAAAAATACAAAAAAAAAAAAAAAAAAATTGGCTGGGCATGGTGGCAGGCGCCTGTTATCTCAACTACTCAAGGGGCTGAAGCAGGAAAATCACTTGAACCTGGGAAGTGGAGGTTGCAGTGAGCTGAGATCATGTCACTGCATTCCAACCCAGGCAGCAGTGCAAGACTCTATATCCAAACAAAGGGTTCAGGTTTACACTACTAAATTTCACTTTTCTCTTTATGCTACCTAATTTGAACAGTATAGGACATTATTTTTGGAAGGAATACTTTTGGAGGAAAATATCTGACTACAACCATTGACCAAATCTGAATTACTACTATCTATTCTCCAACAATTTCTAACAAAAGACAGAACTACATATATTGAAACAGATTTTATAATAGTTTATATTTGCACACAAATTCTGCCACATTGTTCAGTACCACCAAAGTAAAATTCTTGAATCTTTCACTGAAAATGAAAAACCCATCTGTCACCTGTTCCCAGTAAAAAACTGATTGTTCTATAAAATCGGCTGATTCAGTCAGATAGGAACTGAAGTTTGAAAGACAGTCTTTCCAAGTTGCCAGGTCATCAAATAATGACCATTCTAGGAATATGGTAGGACCAAAGAAAATGACAAAGCCAAGCAGAAGAACTGGCAAAAATAACTTATAAAAGCTCCAGGGAATCTTGCTAATGAATGTGCCAGTGTCTTGAGGCAAAGAAAGTTTATCCACATCAACTAGTTTTATGTCTTCCCACTGACTAGTGTCAAAGTTCTTCATTAAAGGGCTTGCAGGCAAATTAGTGGGAGGTAAAGGAGTTTCCTTGATTACTTTGATTTTCTCCCTGAACTCCTGCATCTGTTGCAGAAATACAATGGGTTCTGACACATCTTTGAAAGCCTCAGCAATGTTAAAGGCCATCCGTTGCTCCTGCAAGATGGTGTTGAGTTTGTTGATCTCTGGGTCATATGCTTGCATAACAGCAAGTTTCATGGTCTCAAAGTCAGACAGAATTTCATTCTTCTTTTGATCCAACGTGTGTTGTAGCTTCTCAAAAAATTCTTTCACTTTATCTGAATCTTTAGTCAGTAACTGTAGGGACTTCCTCTTACTAGTTTCCAAGGTATCCAAGCGAGAAAGAGCATCTCCCCGACGCCAGGTCTCAAAGCTCTGAAAGAGGGACTCAAAGGCATCCCTTTCCTGAGCATAGGCATCTTCAATGGAACAGAAGACATGCTTGGTGTGGTCCCCACGAGTAGCACAGATCCCACAAATCAGCTGCATATCAGTCAGGCAGAAAATGTTGAGAGGCTGCCCCAAGTGTCCTTTGCATACTGGCATTTTGGGAGAGATCTTGATCTTGTTATACTTTTCCACAATACCCTTCAGGGAGTAATTAACCTGCAGGCTGTTAATTCCAGTAGCTGAAGTTTCCTTACGACATGTAGGACACTTGAATGGAGCTGGTCTCCACAAGGAATTCCGCACACTCCCCTCTAAGATACCTTCCAAGCATTTTTTGCAGAAGTTGTGGGAGCAAGGCAAAACCCGAGGATCATCAAACAGACTACAACAAATAGGGCACGTGAGATCTTCTTCAAGCAGCTCCATCACATCCTACCAGAGAGAAAAAAAATTTTACTCCAATAATCATCACGACTAGGACTATATAATAATTAGAAGAACGTGTCTTCACATTAAAATGATCTTTCAGTGAAATAACTAGCCAAACAAAGGAAGTGAGAAATTTGGTAAGGGAATGCGCACCAAAGCAAATTTAATCCGCTGAGACTAGAACATGCTCCTTTAATAGTAGGGCACCCTATACACAAGGCCTTTGTGTGGGCTTTCCAATAACAGTCTTTGGCTAAGACAGATTTAGGACTAGGACAACTGCAAGTTGAGCCAGCAGGACCCAACCGATTGTTTTAAAACAGAGCTGACTACTGACAAAAACAAAGCTATTCAGTGTCTGTAATAGAAAGAGCTCTTTACTCTGGGCCCACAAATATAAAATGGTATGCTATATAAAAGAAAGAAGCACAGAAATAGAAATTCAAACATATACTCTCATGCAGACTTTATTATGAATGGGCATATTTTTCTATTTCAAAGGCAAGATTACAGTTTTAAAAATCACAGATAAAAGCAAAAGATGAGAGTTGCGATTCACTCTTCTAGGTTTAAAACTAAATGAGATTCTTTTGTTTTTAAACCACCAGAACAGTAATCAAAGCAACTTTGTATTATCTAGAATCATCAATTCTCACAATGTGGTGGGCAGAAACGTGGATGTCCCTCTTTCAGGGCATCTGTGAAATCAAAACTATAACACTAAGATATTATTTGCTTTTTGCACCGTGTCGACATTTAAAGCAATGGTGGGTGGACATTGCCGAAGACTTAGAAGGCATCAAGCAAAGCTATAAGAGGCACTGAATTGTATTCTTCATCACCACCCAAATTGGGGTTAGAGTACCAGTTCCATTTTAAAATGTTCTTGATTTAGCAGTAAAAATTATTCATTTTATTAAGTCTTAAGCCTGTATACATCTTTTTAGTATTTTGTGTGACGAAATAGGCAGTACACACAAAGCACTTCTTCATACCAGCAGATGTTGTCTGGAGAAAAAGCACTTAAGTGATGAGCTGCAGGCTGAACCAGCTGCTTTTTTCATGAAACACCATTTTTACTTTCTGAAAGAACAAATGATAAACTATGGCTATTCAGACTTAGCTACCTGACAGACATCTTATTGAAAAAAAAAAAAAAAATGAACTTGTTATTTCAAAGAAACAAATGACAGTATCTCTTCCAATGAAAAAGTTGGGTTTTATGTAAAAATTACAATTTTGAAAAACATTTGACATTTATAAGCCCATTAATTAAAGACATGATGAGATGGGTAGTGATATTAACTAATGTGATGGTTTTTTGAGGGGGAAGGAGTACTGTATGATGAAATGTGTCAATATTTGGAGATCTGCAAAACACAGTGAACATTTTTTCAAGTCACCAATGCATGTTATAGATCAGGCATGAGTAAAAAATCCATTTGAAGTTCCAGAAAGACCAACAGGTTCATAAATACAATTTCAGATTCCATACCCCAACAAAGAAACTAGCACTTGCTGAGTTCCTGTATAGTATCAGAAGATTCAGGCTGGGTACAGTGGCTCACGCCTGTAATCCTAACACTTTGGGAGGCTGCAGAGAGTGGACTGCTTGACGTCAGGAGCTCACAACCAGCCTGGGCAACATGGCAAAACCTTGCCTCTACAAAAAATACAAATTGCCCATGTGCGGTGGCATATGCCTGGAGCCTCAGTTACTCGGAAGGCGGGGGCTACAGTGAACTGAGATGGCACCACTATACCCCAGCCTGTGTGACAGTGAGATCTTGCCTTGAGAGAGAGAGAAAAAAAGATTAATTTACCTGAAAAGGCTATTTAAATAATATTCCTTCTTTTACCAACTACATATCTGTGTAAGCCTAGATTTTTCTTTGTGCATTTTTTTTTTTTTTTTTTTTGTTTTAAGAGATGAGTGTCTCACCCTGTCTCCCAAGCTATAGTGCACTGGCACAATCATAGTTCACTGCGGTCTTGAACTCCTGGGTGCCAATGATCTTCCCAAATAACTCAGACTATAGGTATGCACTACCATGCCCAGCTAATTTTTAGGGTTTGTTTGTTTGTTTTTAAGATGGGGTTTCACCATGTTGGTCAGGCTGGTCTTGAACTCCTGACCTCAGGTGATCTGCCCACCTTGGTCCCCAAAGTGCTTGGATTACAGGCATGAGCCACTACACCCAGCTTTTTTTTTTAGATTTTTTGATAGGGTCTCACTATGTTGCCCAGGCAGGTCTAGAAATCCATCTCTTAGGCAATCCTCACACCTCCACTCCCAAAGTGCTGGGATTATAGGCATGAGCCACCACACCCAGCCGCCTCTGTATATTTTAACCAAAATAATTTATTGCAACAGGTTGTGAATACAGAAGCAGACAAAAGACTCCAGCTGTCTTCTATTAAATAGCCATTCATTAGAGGCCTATAAATATAAAAAGCAATGCCATGCTTCTCTTAGTTTTGTTTTAGAAAACAGTTATTTTCCTAAATCATTTGTTAACCTGTAATGGATTTATCACTGTTATTTTAAATGAGTATTTTTTTAAAATTGTTTTAATTTCTAATAGAGTTGACAGTATAAACATAAAAGTTATTGGGATTCCCAATTTTTTTTTTTTTTTTTTTTTTTTTGAGACAGCCCTTTCACCCAGGCTGGAGTACAGTGGTGCAATCTCTGTCCCCTGCAACTTCTGCCTGTCAGACTCAAGCCATCCTCCTGCCTCAACCGCCAAGTAGCTGGGACTATAGGCACATGCCACCAGCCTCAGCTAATTTTTTCTTAGTTTATTTGAAGAGACGAGGTCTCACTGTATTGCATAGTCTCATACTGCTGGGCTCAAGTAATCCTCCCACCTCAGCCTGCCAAAGTACTGACATTACAGGCCAGGATTCTCAATTTTTTTTTTTCTTTTTTGAGACGGAGTTTCGCTCTTGTTACCCAGGCTGGAGTGCAATGGCGCGATCTCGGCTCACCGCAACCTCCGCCTCCCGGGTTCAGGCAATTCTCCTGCCCCAGCCTCCTGAGTCACTGGGATTACAGGCATGCGCCACCATGCCCAGCTAATTTTTTGTATTTTTAGTAGAGACGGGGTTTCACCATGTTGACCAGGATGGACTTGATCTCTTGACCTTGTGATCCACCCGCCTGGGCCTCCCACAGTGCTGGGATTACAGGCTTTAGCCACCACGCCCGGCCGATTCTCAATTTTTGAGTGTAAAAGTGTCTTAAGAACAAAATATTTGAGATCCCTGATCTAGGCAATAACATTCCTCAATGCCGGTTTATTACTTTTTATTTTCAGAGACAGGGTCTTGCTGTGTTGTCCAGGCTGGAGTGCAGTAGACTAATTATAGCTTACTGCAGCCTCAAACTCCTGGGCTCAAGCAATCCTCCTGCCTCAGCTTCCCAAGCAGTTAAGACCATAGGCATGTACCATTATGCCTAACTACTTTTTTTTATAGAGACCAGGTCTTGCTATGTTGACCAGGCTCTTCTCAAGCAATCCTCCTGCCTCAGCCTCGCCAAGCACTGGGATCACAGTGTGAGCCACTGCACCAGGCCACAAGTTTATTTTAAATATACATTTATCTCTAAAGTTATAAAACCAGAGTAATACATATTTCTACATTCACTTTACTTAGGGATACATACATATATACACATATCACATTATCACCAAAATAATAAAATAGGACTTAATCTGTAGGCCATGTATAATAAAAAATGAATACTTCTGACTGGGCACGGTGGCTCACGCCTGTAATCCCAGCACTTTGGGAGGCCAAGGTGGGCAGATCACAAGGTCAAGAGATCGAGAACATCCTGGCCAACATGGCGAAACCGTGTTTCTACTAAAAATACAGGCAGAGGTTGCAGTAAGCGGGGATGATGCCATTGTACTCCAGCCTGGTGACAGAGCAAGACTCCATCTCAAAAATTTAAAAAATACTTTTTTGTTTGAGACGGAATCTCACTGTTGCCTAGACCGGAGTGCTGCGTCGCAGTCTTAGCTCACTGCAACCTCCGCCTGCGAGTTCAAGCGATTCTCCTGCCTCAGCCTCCTGGGTAACTGGGGACTACAGGCACCCACCACCATGCCCGGCTAATTTTTGTATTTTTTTGGTGGAGACGGGGTTTTACCATGTTGCCTAAGCTGGTCTCACACTCCTGACCTCAGGTGATCCATCCACCTCAACCTCCCAGAATGCTAGGATTACAGGCATGACCACTGCACCAGCCAGTTTATGGCTGTATATTACATTGTAAGATACATGTATTTATAATATATAACATATGGAGAACTAAAGCAAAGATTATTCTGTCTCAAATTTAGTGTCATATTGCAAAAAAAAAAATGTGTAATTAGCTGAGTTTTCTGAAAAATCTTTTATGATAAGACAAATCATATAACCTTTGAAATGCATTGGAAAAATGGCTACGAAGACTGAACCTGGCATGTCTTCTGAAAGAGGTTACCACACAGCTGTAAAACACAAAAACTTTCACAACAATGAAGGCAAACTTTTGATGATCTGCCAACCCCAGTCCTCCTCCATACTTCTCAACTCCACTACTGTCTTTTGCGTAAGAAATCTACTACACAAAGGCCAGGTTTTTGAGAAGGCAATACAAACAGGGAAGTGGTAAGGGCCAACACTAAATAAAATAAACCTAATGTACTATCCTTGGAATATTAATATTTCCAGAGAACCCTATCCAAGCATATTAAATAAGAAGAAAACAATATACCAAGTGACTGGGATGAGGAGGAGAAAAAGAGCTCACAAAGCAAAGAGAAACTTTGAAGAAAATTGAGAAGGATACAACACAAAAAGAATTTTAAGGCAATCAAGTGTGATCAAAAGTGAAAAGGAAAATGTCACACACAGGAAAACAGAAATAATAAACAGTCATTCCAAGGTCATGATCAACTTATAGCACTTAAAATGAACCAGAGGGGAAAAGAATACTATTTGGAAAGTCT